AGAAAAGCCACTTTTGGAAAGTGACTTTGGGAAAGTTATTTAAACCCTAAGTGCTTCATCAATCAATCAATCAATCAATCAATAAAGAATCATGCCACATTATGTCCAAGAGACAGGAAATTAGACAAAATGATATTATGAGCGTTCCTCCAGCCTAAAGTTTTTGTAATTCTAGAATTCTGTTCTATTGATAACTCTGGTTAAACCTGTGGCAGGCTTAGCCAGCAGTAAAAAGCTGAAATTAAGTCCAACATATCATCCCATGTCTTTTTCAAAGAAGACTGAAACCCACACCCCATCCACCCTCCTCCACAAAGCTTCCAGAGAAAGCAGGACTGTGACAACCAGTGCAAACTCCATCCACGCGGCTCACAGGAGAATGCAGCTCTGTACAAACATGGTCATGCCTTTGGGGGCATGTTAGGGAGTATCCGGGCAATTCACTATTTCTTTTAAGGGTTGAAGACAGAAGCAGAGAAATAGAATGCTGACATAAAGAGTGGTATGACCCTTCAGAAGGAAAAAATTTAAACATTAACATCAACTTAATTTGGGACATCTTACTCAACATTTGATTTGTTAGACAAATGTCTGAGTGTCCAATATGAGCTAGGCATCAAATATATAATCTTTACTAATCCCAGGTCTAGAAAAATGATTTCTTTTCCTCCTTGAAAAATAACTTTTAGCAGAGCAGTAGTATAAATCTTCCATGCTTAAATCTTACTTTTCTTTTTCATTTTGTCCATATACAACAGTGTTTCATTCTAATATTAACTCACCAACACTTACTATGTACATATGATTTCCAAGGATTGGGATGATCTAGTCTTTGGGGGCACCAATACAGATTTGGTCCATCTCTTAGAAGGTTCACGACATGGATGGGCAAGTATAAGATCTGTAGTCAGGAAAGTCAGCACTACCATTTTAGACACCTGAAAATCAGTTTTTCAGTGTCACGCTATATATATTGTGATGGCATCGCCAAACCCCCTCCTATACACTTTACGGATGTGTCTTAGTCTGGGATTAATGACTCATTCCTTTAGGGCTGGATGATTCTTTGCTGTGGGAGGCTATCCTGTGCTTTGTAGAATGTTTAGCAGAATCACTGCCCTCTATTCACTAGATGCCAGTAGAAGTCAACTGTGACAACCAAAACTATCTCCAGATGTTGCCAAAAAACCCCTGGAAGATAGAATGACTTCTGGTTAAGAATGACTGCTTTAAATCAAAACTCTCCCCTTATAAACTCACAAACACTCCGTTTCATCCTTCTTCCTTTTCCCCTTCTCCTTTTTCCCTCTTCCTTTTCTCTGCAAACACCTATTATAGTTTCCTCTTCATCCTTAGCAATCATTCTCAGGAAAAACAGGAGTTTACTCTACTCTCAAGAAACGTAACATGTGAAGCCATTATTAGTTACTAATGACTTGGGGTAACAAGCCATCCCAGTTTGACAAAGCGTGAAGTCCCAGGATGTGAACATTTCAGTGCTAAAATTGAGGAAATCGTAGGCAAATCGAGATGAGTTGGTCACCCTAAACTTAGTGTGTAACCCTTTTAACCTCTGGTCCACTCGGTGTACTGTCTCATTCATAGAAGCACAGATCAAATATCTATTACTGATAAAAATGGAATTACATTCTAATTTTGGTGCTTTTAAAAACGTATTAAAGTTGGTTCTTTAACCCTCCCAGCAAGAATGCTTTTACCTTTTCCCCTTTTCCAGTTATCTTATTCCTGCACTACTCTAGCACCTTTCATTTGCTCTAAATTTCCAAAATTCTCTCATCTCTTTATTTTGAAGGTTAACTAACCTCTTTCCTTTCTCCTCCCACCTCTTAGGTTCTACCTTCTTTGCTACTTTTTAACATAAATTCCAGGGACAGATTTGGCAGTGACAGACAGGACACTCACGGGGTGGATAGTCATCATCTGCTTCTGTGGAGGAAAGAAATTCCCAGAATCACTTACACGCACGACCACATGTGTGTTGGCTTGTGAGCTGCTTCCTAGTAAGAAGAGCTAGAAGTGGAAGCAGGGGAATGAAAAAATCATAATGGTTGAGTCTTGATAGAATATGAGGATGGAAAAGAGAAGACGCATCCAGCTTGGGTTCTGCAGAATAGCTGCGGGAAATACAAGGCTGCCAGGGCTCAGTTTCAGCTTCTGAGTACTTAACAAGGGGCAGAGGGCAAGGGCAAGGGCATTAAAGGGCAATACAAGTTGCTGTTTCATAGCTCTGGATAAAGCTAATGTTACATTCTCCTGGTTACACCCTTATTTTCAGCGGCTTTCTCCCCAACATGGAATCCTTTTAAACCCAGTTACCACTGAGCCAAACTAATTTGTCTTTTCTTCCAATGTTTTTGCAATCACTACACCACCATAAAATCTTTTACACAAGACATAAACTCTGAAAGGAAAATATTAAACCATGAGGTCACTGCTGTAATAGCAAATGACCATGGAGTTAAAAGAAGATGAAAAAACTTCTCACGGGTAGAAGCCAAGCACTTTAGAAAAAGAGACAGAAAGAGTACTGGGCTGTCACTCTGGGACCTTAAGGGGTCTGCTGCATTTCCTACATGTAAAATGGTCCCCAGATAACTCTCATGATTCATAATAATCTGAATGTCATGAAATTAGAATCATTTGCAATGGGCTCTCCACACCCGCCAGTGTGGAGAGCTAACGGGACTCTGCCAGTTTATATGAGGGACTTGAACATGTAGCTTCTGGTATCTGCAGGAGCTCCTGGAACCAATCCCCCTCAGACGCCAAGGGACCACTGTACTTCACTAGTAAAAATCACGTCTTCCGCTTGCGGCAAAAGGTCAGAGCATCTGAAAGACAAAGAAGAAACTGGTTGCAAACAAGGGTGTCTATTTCTGTTTATGAGATTTGAATTCTGCAGAATGACTGAAGTCATTTTCATGCTTCAGGCTTATAGTGACTCAGCTCTTCCTTTTCCAGTAAATGTAATTGTTGATGAGCCTTGCCGTGCCTTCCCAGAGGCAGATGATGCTTTTCATTTGATTAAATCTAATTCGATAAGTAAGGGTTTGCGTTTGTTAAACTCCTGCATGGGTTGAGTATGTATGTATTTCATTTTAACATTCATTATAGAAATTAGTCTGTCATCTCCAAAGCCATGATTTTCCCCAACAATCCTGGATTGAAAATGTTCTGAAAATATATTATCCCTTTGGGGACCTGCATTACTTTTCTATTGTTGTTGTAACAATTAACCACCAAATTCATGATTAAAAATAAACCAAATTTATGATCTTACAATTCTGGAGGTCAGAAGTCTGAAATGAATCTCACTGGGCTAACATCAAAGTATCAGCAGGGCTGCACTGCTTCTGAATTTGTGTGTGTGAGAATCTGTTTCCTTGCCTTTTCCAGCTCCTAATGACCACGTACATCCCTTGATTTGTGGTCCTTTCCTCCATCTTCGAAGTCAGAAGCACAGCATCTTCAAATCTGTTTCTGACTCTGATCTTCTGCTTCCCTCTTCCACATTTAAAAGGCCCTTGTGATAAAACTGGACTCACTGGATAATCCAGGAGCATCTATGTATCTTCAGGTCAGCTGATTAGCAACTTTAATTCCACCTGCAACGTTAGTTGCTTCTTGCCATGTAACAACATATTCACAGATTCAGTGGATTATGGCATAAACATCTCTAGAGGGCCATTATTTGCCCCACTGGATCCCAACTATGCAGGGGATGGTCCTACTAGAATCCCAACCTTGGAGGTCCCTGAGATTTGTCTTCTGACCAGAATTGGTGATCATAAAAACAGAAACTTGAAGTCACCAAGGGTTGGGAGATGTTGTCAGATAAATGCTGGCTTTGGTTCTTGCTTACCTCCTAGGTTTCCCATTTTCACTTTAATGTTGGTTTTTAGGGGTACCTTCATTTCCCTGCCATCTCAGAGAAACATGCTATGTATGTTATACTTTTTTTCATAAAGCCAAATTGTTTTTACTGATTGGAGCATTTAAGATAGCAAGTGTCCTGTTGTGCCAGGGACCCTGCAGTCGCTCTTGGAAAATAAAATTTTGATCTGGTCTAACAATAATTTGCCTCCATGCCCTGCAAGTGGAATATCAAAATTACAAACTCTTATTCAAGTAGTTACTCCTTTCCTCTATTCAGTCTGCTTCAGACTTACAAACTTGTAATGAAAGGAGCGGGTATTTTTGGCTTCGCTGCTGTTTCTCCCCTCTGTTTCATCTTGTATTTGCAGCTGTTGCTGTGGATTCATCCAGTCAATCATAAGGGGTAGAGAGAGAGCTATTTTCATTAGACTCTTCTCTAAGTAGAAAATATTCAAATATCCACAACTTATTACAATTAGTGAGTCATTCACACCGATACAGTCAGTTGGGAAAATTTTTTATATTAACAATAAAAGTATAAAGTACTTACGAATAAATTCAAAAAGGATGTACAAAATACTTATGTGGGAATTTATAAAAATTTATTAGAAGAGACCAAAGAACAGTTCAATAATGGAGAGATGTTTGTAGATGAGAAGGATCAATATTACAAATATGTCAGTTCTTCCAAGTTTATCTATGGATTTAACAAAATTTCAATTAAAAAAAATCCTAACAGGGTGATTTTTTTCCTATTGTTCCTGATAAATTCATCCAAAATTTATGGAGTTAAACAAAAGATCAAGAATAGGCAAGGCTCTCTTGAAGAAGAAAAAGGTGTGTTGCAGGGGGAGACTTAATTCAAGCTACATTAAGTAACGTAGTGTTGAACTGGTACAGACACAGATAAACAGACCACTGGAATAGAGTACAATGTGCAAAAACCGACCCACTGATTTATGGACACTTGGTCTATGACAGAGGGAGAACTGAAGACCAGAGGAGGAAGGACAGGACATCAATAAGTGCTTCTGTGACATTTGGGTGTCTATGTCACTTACCTACTGCTACGTGACAGCCTCCCCTGCCTCCAATTGATGTGCTTAAAACAATAACCATTTATTTATTTCACAATTCTTGGTCAGCAGTTCTGGCTGGGAGCAATTGGGTACTTTTCTCAACTAGCTCATTTAGCTGACTCAAGTGTCTCTAAGCAGCTAAAAAAATCAATCAGGCAGTTCTGCTTCTGTGTTGGTTGGCTGTTGGCTGGAGTGACAAGGGTGACTGGGCCCACATACCTGTCATCATGCAGCAGGTAGCCCATGTATGTTCACATGGTTGACGTGATCAGAGAAAGCAAGGGTGGTCCAGGCCTGGAATTGGTACAGTATCACTTCTGCCGCATACTAATGGTGAGAAATGTCACAAGACCTGTCTAGATTCAAGGGGTGGAGAAATAGACATCTTCTGATGGAAGACGCTACAATGTATTATAGCCATTTTTGCAATCTAGCAGTCTATCCTTTGGACAAAATAATTACCTTTCCTTCCACATGTAAGACCCCCCAAATCTCATCTAATTATGGTATCAGGCTAGTGTGGCATCTTGTGGTCCAAATCAGGTCAGATGAGGCTCCTCAAATGAGGTTTTCTTGTTCTGGCAACCTATGAAATAAAAAGGACTAATTATCGTCCCTTAACACACCCAACACACAGTTGGGCAGGGATAGGTTCATTACAGTGGATACTGCCACCAGAAAGTGGAAGCGTGTAAACACAAAGCAGCCACGGGTCTACAACAACACTGAAATCCAGTAGGACATCTGTTGCTGGGTCTCCCCATTCTGGGGGCAGGAAATACTCATAGATTAGGTCTAGTTCCATCTCCCTGCTTCACTGCTCTCTAAGACTTAGCTCCACTTTCTGAACTGTTGGCTGTCTTCTGAGATATTGTTCCTTTTCTATAAGGAAAGACCCATATTGTGTAATTTGAGCAGTCTAATTTCTTCAATCCAAGTATGTGGTGCTTTCAATAGTACAACTCTTAAAACTTGGTGGTTTCCCTCTGAATCTGACTTGAGTCTACCTGGTCCAAGAAAAGTCACACCAACAATTCATTAGAGAGAGAATTTTGTGGGTGTGTCAGTCTGTTGTGGGATAATAGCCTTAAAATTCTTAGATATCCCTCCCCCCCTTTTTTTATATAGTTAAGAGAATCTACTATATGACACCTTAATTCTTTCAAATATCTTAATAGACTTTAATTGCCACAACTTGTTAGGATCTTTGGTCTCAGGCTTCTTTCACTTGGATTTTTTGCTGGCTGAAGAGATTAGGTCCAGCAATCCCACTCCTGGGCATATATCCAGAGGGAACCCTAATTCAAAAAGACACCTGCACCCCAATATTCATAGCATCACTATTTACAATAGTCAAGACACGGAAATAACCTAAATGTCCATCGACAGATGACTGGATAAAGAAGTTGTGGTATATTTATACAATGGAATACTACTCAGCCATAAAAATGAC